TTACATCAAGGTTACAAATACTTACAACTTGGAAGCGCGGAATGATGTGGCGAAGGCACATCTCTTCGGCCATGCTTGCTCCGCGTGCTCTGCGGGAGACACCTAGTTTCCCTCTACGACCAGCACCGGCGCCGGGGCTTGATGCTCGACCCCTTTGCCGCTTGTCCTCTGCACTTCAGTGGTTGGCGATGCGGGTCCCATTGGCACGGAGGAGCCACTTTGATCCATCGGCTCCAGTTGCCTCCTCCTCTTTCTAGGGACGAGTCGAAAGATGTCCGCATCCTCTGTTTTATCGTCTGACAATGTGAAGATCGCCTGACGACGCTTGCTGGCCGCTGGCCGCTTACCAGTAGCTCTGGCCGCTGCCTCCTCCCCAACTCTGAGCACGGCCCAATCGATGTCTTCGATGCCGGCGCTGGTCTGGGTGGTTGGGCCGGCAACTTGCTGCCAATCTACACCAAGGGGTGGAGACACGAACACGGTTGCTCTATCTCTACCATTAATCTAGGAAACATAAAGGAGATAACACAGTAAGTTTCTGTTACAGCATAAGACTACGGGTACAAGGCAGAATGATTTACCTTTGGGGGAGGTCGGGCGAGCTTGAAAGCGTGCTCGATGTTGCTCAATCTCACATAATTTGGATCAGCTAAGTTAAATAGCTCTCCAATTCTGGCTTTGACTTCGATCTTGTCAAGTGTCTCTCGCCTGGTCCTCGTTGGGTCTATGCTACCCTGGTACTCGTAGCCAAGATGTACCCTCCTCTGGCAGGGCTGGATCCTTCGGCTGATGAAGTTTTCGACCACGCTCGGACCGTCCAGTTTCCTCCACGGGATCATCCCAAGTAGTTCTTGGATCTGTTCCAGGTGCTCGGGCTTTTCCGACCAGCTGTTCTTCTTCTCCGGAATGAATCCCACATCGCACAGTGTGATCGTGTTCGGCTCTTCACGGATGTAAAACCACTTCTTGTACCAGTCGTCTAGCGATGTGTTCCAAGGGCAGTGCAAGTACTGGGCCTTCATCCCGTCACGCAGATTAAGGTACACACCTTCGGCTATCTTCGAGCCGCCGCTTCCTTTCTTCCACAGACAGAAAAGATGGCGAAAGAAGTCGAAATGGGGCTGGAAGCCACCATATGCTTCGCAAAGATGAATGAAGGTGGAGACAAGAAGAATCGAGTTGGGATGCAGATTGTAAATCCCAATCTTGTAATACAAACAGAGCCCCTGAAGGAAAGGGTGCACTGGAACCCCAAAACCCCGCTTGAAGAAATCTTCGAAAACCATAATCTCACCTGGTTGTGGATTGGGGTACCCTTCTCCTTCGACGCGCGCCATCCTGCGAGTGCCTTGTCGTGGAGTACTCCCATGATGACGAGGTCTTCGATGGTCTGCTCGTTGCTTCTTGACTTCCACCACTCCCTTGCCATGACTCCGGTTTTCTTCTGGGCGTCACTCTTCGCCATGAATCTGCCCTTGCTGATGGAGGTGGATGTGGTGGAGGGGTTATTGGTGATGATTTCGGAGGTATTAGGGTTGGCAAGAGGAAGAAGAAGGTTGCGGCGGTGAATGGTAATGGGGATCGGTAAAAAGTAACTTACTAGTTCTATATTATAAATAACCAAGAGTTCTGCCGGTTTGACTGCCCGTGATTCTTGGGAGACGTGCGCACGCGTCGCAGACGGTTGTTTTCACAACCTCGAGATTTATGCCAATATACGCGCCCCTTCGTTACTAGTGTACGCGCCTCTTCATTGCTAGTGTGAGAGGGCCCACACTGACGCACCTCCTTACAGGTGCCAAGCGACTGTTTGCTTGAAAGGACAAGAGGGCAGTATGACGTGCTATACCCGTCTGTTTTTTTGACCAGACGTGTCAGATTTGACTTGACAGAGTAAGAAGATATATAAATACACCAAGTAATAGTACAAGCGACATTTGTTTCTTCGCTGCAATACTCGTGCTCAGGGATGGTCCAGACCACTACTCGTGCTCAGGGATGATCCAGACCACTACCGTGCTCGGGGACGGTTCCGAAGAATGCTCGGCGATTGTTCTCCTCGGCTACATGTGATTTGCACTCACATATAGTTGAGAGACATTTATTTAGACCTTGCTGCAAGGCTTCTACTTTGCCTTACAGCAAGCTCGGGGGATACATTGGTACGATGCACCTGCCGGTGCATCCCGTATTGATTGTACGACGACTGGGTTCTTAACTTCAGTAGAAATTCTTTTTAGACCCTGGCACCACGTGCCTGCGTTACCTACTACTAGGCTCGGGGACTAAGTGGGCACACTTCACCTTGTGGTGAATGTGTTTATTTAATCGACCCCTACGCTTTGACTGATTGTTAGGATTACTATCGGGCTCGGGAACTGTCCCGACCACTGCTCGGAGACCGCTCTCCTCGGCTACATGTGATTTGTACTCACATACAGTTGAGAGACATTTATTTAGACCTTGCTACAAGGCTTATACTTTGCCTTCCAGCAAGCTCGGGGACTACATCGGTACGATGCACCTGCCGGTGTATCTCGTATCGCTTGTATTATGATTGGATTTGAATGGGAATTCTTTTTAGACCCTGGCACCACGTGTCTACGTCACCTACTACCAGGCTCGGGGACTAAGTGGACACACTTCACCTTATGGTGAATGTGTTTATTTTATCGACCCTTACGCTCTGACTGTTGGCCATAACAACTACTATACAAGGGTCACTTACATTTCTTTTTAGAAATACAAATGGGCACACTTGATCAGGAAATAAATCTTTTTCTTTTTTCTTTAAGAGCACCTTGCATTCTTCGGACAACTGGAATCTTCGGCTATAATCGTGGTCTACTACTTTCTGTACTGATTAGAATGTTGGCGCATTTGATTGGTCAATGTTTCAATCAGTTCAAAATGACATGAAGACAGATTGCGTTAGTCGAAGGAGATCAAACGGCGTGTCGCGGCATAATACATGGTGCTCGGAGACTAGCTGTGGGGGTATTAACCCCTATACCCTTACGGCTAGGCTTGGGCCAGCCCGGATCAGAGGGTCCGATCTGCTAAAAGACGACGCATGGCCCAGCCGACCTGTTCGGAGTCCCGCGCAAGGAGTCAAGACAGATTTGGCGATCAAGCAAGATCCTGGTCGGTTAGAATAGGAATCCTTATCCGGCCACCTATGGCAATTGTAACTGGCTAGGATTAGCTTCCAGATCTGTAACCCTGTCCCCCGGACTATATAAGACGGGCAGGGGATCCCTCTAAAAAATATCTCTCATTGACATACAGTAATACAATCAGACGCAGGACGTAGGTATTACGCCTTCTTGGCGGCCGAACTTGGATAAAACTTCGTGTCTGTCTTGCGTCACCATCTTGTTTGTGACTTGCGCATCTGTCTGCTGACAATCTACTACCTTGGACATACCCCTAGGTAGACTGCTGACTATATTTCGTCGACATATATATATATATATATATATATATATATATATATATATATATATATATATATATATATATATATATATATATATATACACTTCAAACTCGATCGCTAGTCATGCATCAACAACCTTTTTTTGTGATGATTGACCATGCTGTTCGTACTACCTGTTCTCTTTCTTTCTTCAGATGTAATGGTGAACATAAAATCGGTTTCGCTTCTCTCCACTGAAATAAGATCCAGCTTAGAGCGCACCATGCAAGTATGGGGCTACATCAACAAGCTTCTTCGCCACCCCGAATCAAACAAAAAAATCGTGGTTCCTAAATCATACGAATCATGGATAAGCATGGCAATGGGATACGTGCGGCAGGATTTGGACAAGATCAAGGAGCTGATAGGTGCGCCTGTGCTGGACAAGGTTGCTCTGGTCGCCAAGATAGCAAAGAGCCTAGAGAGCTGGAAAATGCTGTTGCATGGTCATGCCGTCTCAAAGGAGGTATCCAGTTTGATGCGCGAGCTAGAGGATCTGAAGAAAAACCTCTCTGATGATGACGCAAAAGCGACGAAGCAAAGCGAAGAAGAACAAATAATGCAGGGCCATCGGACCACGGAAAATAATTCCCTTCGCTCTGTGACGCGTGGCCTTGCCTCTATCAAGGATTATGATGCGGCCTTGGACTGGGAGAAACTCGTCGGAGAAGCGGAGGAGAGGAAGAGGCAGCGTCTCTCAAAGGTCAAGGAGCTGGAGAGAGCGCTGCGCCTGGCGCAGTCCGATCTCTCCAAGGAAGAGGAGCGTGAAGCAAACAGAGTGACCTCACGCGCCCGGCACAGCAACACGGTGAGCAGAGTTTCAGAAGCTGTCACAGATCTTGCAAAGCTACTGGCACAGACCAACACCTGCTGGGAGGCCATGAGAGGTAGCATCCAAGACGAAGGGATCTCGGCACAGCTGTGGTTCCAGCTCAAATTCGTGGAGTCATGCCAAATTAAAATAGAGGGTGCTGATGATGATGAGTAATATATATAGTTGTACCATAATCAGTGTCATGCATGACTGATTATGATATATGACTGATCGACCTTTGCATACATATCATATCATATATTCTCTCATTTGCACTGTGACCTCTTCGGTCCTTCCCTTTGCTTGCTGCATTGTCATGGTCTTATGGAATAACTCCAGAGGATTATTATCACTTCAATTATCAATAATGTCATGAATCATGCATACATTAGGTTTATACCAGTGCATTGCAACGGGAGAAAAACATTAAGCTAAAGCAGTACAATAAAGCATGACACTGCATAACAAAACACACGAAAAATGATTGAAAATATTGAACACAATGATCCATGGTACATGCTTAAGACTCGTGAAGGGAGATGCAGTTCTTGATGATCTAGGTGACCGATAGGAACACCAAAGGCAGCAGCATCATGTGCGATGTGTCCATCGTCTTATTGCTGCGGCACCGGAACTAAAAAGCAAATTAAACTAATGCATTGATGAGATAAATAGAAACAAGCTGCGCATGCCTGGCATTGCTGTAGTTTAGACAGTATAAACACCAATCGAGTAGAGATGTTTGCCAGATCTACCGTGGAACCCCACGATCCTGCTATCCTTATCAGCTTTGAACCTGAAAGGTGTTGCTGGCACATTTTGATGATGTGCATTTCCAAAAGGACCATAGGTTCTGATATTGGTGACAAAAGTAAGACTCGTCACAAGAACATTCCCAGAATGACTCCCATATGCTCCCGATACTTCTTCCACGAACTCAGAAATGTCAAAGCGGATCTGCAGACATTCCAAATAAAGGCTGGAGGGATGAAACTGGCGCCATATATAATTAACTATAGCAGCGCAAGGAGCAACTATCAAAACTAGATTATGCGCGTGTATGAATGACAGACAGCATGAGAATTAACACACCGTTTCAATTTTGTCGTGATGGTATCCTTCGCCCCAGGGACCAATGCTGTGTTTCTTCCCAGCTTGGTCAGTGTATGAAAATGAGAATGCGTCGATCAGGCCCAAGTAGCTAATCGTTAGGCTCTCCAGACGCCAGGGCTTTTCGTTGATGTCACGGGCTATACCTGCACTTCCACCCCATGGTCCGGTTTTCGTGGGAGTGGGCAAGATCTGCATCCGAGTGTCAGCAATTAATCATCCAACGCAATGTTACGTCTGAGATAGTGTAAAATGGGAACCAAAATAAACGGTTACAGAAAAAAAAAAAGGGTCTCAATGGGCTGGGCGGTCATTCAGAAGGCCAGGAAAAGACATTGCTCCAGAATCTCGTACTTAAGAGAGGGTGATGCAAACTGAGAAAACAATTGGGATATGCCTTGGATTAGTGATGAATGATTGACACATGTGTTTAAGAGGTTTAGAGCTTCCAGTGGTGCATCACATGTTGCATGTGTGTGTCACACACCTAAATATGGCCCCCAAGTCAGGCCGAGCGAGGCCCAGCGCTGGGCCCAGGTCGGCCTCGGCCTCTTCCTGCTCAGGCAGGGAGGCGTGCGAGCCAGGGGGCACGGCCGCCGCCGCCGCCCCTCGATCCCCTCCCTCCTGGAAGAATCCGGAATAGATGAAAGTCTTGGATAATTTTAAGGAAAATAACATAGAGTTTTGTTTACAAAATAAGATTCTGTTTGCTTACGAAATAGATCGGTTTTTTTAGAAAAGGAGAAGTTCAAATCTATAAGGACTCCTCCTCTAGTTTGCTTGGGATCCAAGTCCGCTAGGAACTATAAATATAGGGCAATGTAACCGTTTCAATCTTAAGAAGAAATAGAGCTTTGCTTTTCCCCTACCCTTCTCCCTTCTCAACCTCAGTTCTCTCTCCCTCCCTCTCCCGCTACCATCGTGCCGCACCTCTCTCCCTGCGCTCACTCCTGCCCTGCCCTAGCCGCCGCCGCTCCCTGCACCCTCAGCAACAGCTGCAGCCCCCTCCCCCAAGTAGGGTTGTGATAGTGTGCATATGATTATATGCTTTAGCTAACCAGAGAGTATTATTTGAGGATGAGGCATGATGGGTAGTGGATGAGTGGTGTGGTGAAGTGCAGGCTAGGCGCTTCACACCGATGGACCATGCGATGCTATGGCTTCGTGCCTATGGACTATGCTATGGTGAAGGCCGAGTTGAGACTTTGGTGCTGAAGGGACCGTCCTTTCCAAGGAGCCATGGGCAATCTGGGTTGCTCACATGGAGAGTGCAGTAAGAAATGTCGGCAAAAGAATGATGAAGATGGCGTCTACCAAGCCGAGGAGGAGGATGACGGCATCGTGGCACTTGGCATAGGCTGGACACATGCCTACATTAGGATAGTGAAGATGATGTCAGTCAAGTCAAAGAGGAAGGCAAATGCATCTAGGCCATGGCAAAGGTTGATTACACATTGATATTGGTGCGTCACACCTTGCGTGGTGTGTGGGGGGCTTCGCTAGTTTGGTCCTCAAAACTAGGCATAGAGGACTTTGTAGTTTGGGCCTCAAAACTACTGGTGGGAGGTTTGACTAGTTTGTCCGGGCCTCAAAATTGGGTGACGAGTTTCATTATGCTTGGCACCATCACAAATCTTGCTGTGAGGGAAAGCGAAGTCATGAATATGTTAGGAGCATCAGATGCACCGACAAAAATATGGATTGTTTGTGTTGACGGTATTTGGGTTAAGTGCTTTATGTAAGGGAAATTTGAGAGATAATAAGTGCCTATATATAGTGGAGGTGGATGGTTGGGGAAGACGTCCCTTGGAGGTGTCTATCTCATTTTGTGTGTGAAAGAGAAGGCTAGGATTAAAGGAAGAGATGGAGATTTTCACAACTATTTTTCTAGGATTTTTTATATTTTCCTTTGCATGAGTTATAGGCACAATTTTTTAGTGTATTGAGGTCCTTGGAACTTGTTCATATCATGGCTTCAAGCCTAGCTCTTATCACCCAAGTTCCTCCCTCCAAAAACCTTCTCTAATTGCATGCCTGTTTTGGTGGATTTCATGAAAATCTTCGAGTTGGAGTTCTTGCAACGTTATTGACTGGTTAAGTGCTATATATGAGGTCCTGAGAACACATATAGACTTTTCCTTCAATAGATTTCCCATGCATGAGTACCTTCAATTCCCTCTCTTTTTTCCTTTCTTGAGAAATTCATGATTTGAGAGAGGAATCCTTCAATTCATAATGAAGCCTAGACCTTTTTGGAAATATTAAATAGGATTACCTTCACCATAAGTATTAAGGTTGGGGCCAAGTTTCATAATTTTTAGAGGTGATTTGGAGTGGTTTTGGATTTTTTTGAGCTAATCCCCTATTTTATGGAGAAGCAGGCCAAGTCGGTTTTTGTGACTTGCTCTTTTGGAGTTGATCTTCTTGAGATTGGTTCATCATGATGTTGTAAAGTTTTGGTTCAAATTTCTTTTTTTTTTAAAGATTGCTTGATAGAATTTTGCCTTTTTCTCCAAAACCTATTCAGACGAAACCATCTAGGCCGGTTTCCATAGTAGGCCAGGCCAGGACAGTTTCTATAGTGTTTCGGTGGCATGAGGATAGAAGGACGGTTTCTATAGTTTCTATAGTAGGCCGCACATCCACAAAGGATCGGAGGCTGGAGAATGGACCGTGTGTGGCTCTCACACTGGGCACAGGAAGATCAAGAATACATGGGTGATAATGGAGATGACGTCGACTAAGTCAAGGACAGGGCTTGGACCAAGTCACAGCGCGGTGCCGTGAGCGCTTGGTGGACCATAGGGCCAAGGACAAGGAAGGTCGAACACGCGTCGATATCAGTTAGTCATGTCTGACGAGGCGTGCATGATGGTTTCGTGGTTTTGGGCCTCAAAACCATTGGAGTAGGGTTTGCTGGTTTGACCGGTTTGGTCCTAAAAACCGGGGAATGGCAGACTGACAAATACATGATGGAATCTCGGAGCTTGCATCTAGGCGAAGTGAAGTCAAGAAGGCACCGTGTCCGTTGGATCGATGGCTAGAGATGAGTGGCTCTTTGATTGAGATTTTTGCCATCAAGCTTTGTGATCTGCTAGGAGTGTCTTGTAATCACATATGGTGAAGTAATCCAAAGATCGAATTCGTGCACCACTTGTTCTACTCCCCCAAATCTGAAATTTCTCATTTTCGGTCATTTTCGTGGTCATTTTTTAGAGAATTTCTTGCTTCTTCTTAGGCTGAGTCTTTGGCACATTTTTGGGAGTCTTTAGGATCCTTGGAACATATCTGATCCATGTCTTGTAGCCCAGTTTTTAATCTCTTGGTTCCAAGCCCCAAAACTCTCCTTTTCAAGCCTCTTTTGGTGATTTTCTTGGAGATCTTTGAGCTGAAGGTTTTAGGTTGTTCTTGGTTGACATTTAGGTGCTATGAATTCTTGAGAACTTATCTAGCCACTAGTTTTTACTGATTTCTGATGAACACCTAAAAATCATCATTTGGAGTGCTCTTGACAAAACCCCAATTTGAGAGAGTTATTCTGAAATTCTGTTTCAAGCTTTGATGTTTTCGACTTGATATCTTGGGGACAACTTCTTAATGGGTTATTCAGGTTGTGTGCAAAGTTTCAAAAAATTTTGATTTGAATTGATTTTGAATTTTTCTTGGAGAGGATTCTGCCAAAAACAATAAAAAAACTTGCCAGACCGGTTTGCAAAACTAGCCAAACCGGAGGTGATTTTTTATGGACATGTTATTTATGATGTTTTGACAAAAATTCATGGTATTTGGAGGTCATTTGATTGAGTTTTGACTTTTTCCTTTCCAAGTTTATGGGCTGAAAACAACAAAACCAGTTTTTGAAACCGGCTAAGCCACTTTTGGCTGAATTTGTTCAGATTTTGTCTTTTTTTTTGCACCCAATCGCTTTCGTATCTCTCCAAACTAGTTTCTTGGGTCTGTATGTCTGCTGTGACTACGAGATCTTGGCTAGTACTGTTGAAAGAGGTTTGTAGGTAACATTTGGGACATTGCCAACATATTATTCATCTGCTTGGCTTGAACAAATTGAATCCCATTCACCCCTTCTCTGGTCACCATTCCAGGCCTTCACTTATATATTTAGGGCCTGTTTGAGACTGCTATGCTTAAGTTTTCTCAGCTCTACTCCACTAACTCTTTCATAAAGGACCTTCACTCTGGAGTTACGAGAGCAGGTTGTTTGGCACATACTTGGAAAAGGTCTAATATATGCACCGCAATGATTTTTGGTGTATGCCCCTCAATGATGTTCGATATCTTTGTGTAATGGGGTGACAGTGGTGGATAATTTCCCTAACTCCTGAGAAAGTATATATGGAAGTTGAAATCCTGGAGTATCCCTTGAGGTATTCCTTTAAAAATATGGAGCTGGCCTCCAAATTCATCTTTTCCTCGAGCGGAGTTTTAGGAGTAGGAGGTGTTTTTTGGCAAGATAAAGTTGGAGCATAGCTGCAAAATCTGGAGTAGAGCAGTGCCAAATACCCCCTAAACATCCCACGGATATAAAGTTGGTAGGTGGACCAAATATTACAATATATATATATATATATATATATATATATATATATATATATATATATATATATAATGTTGCTGGTATATATGTAAATAGCGTTAGAGTTCTTACCTGTCCTGGCATTGGGAGGGGCCGACGTATCTTCATATTGCTGGGGCACTGGGTCTGAAAGCAAATTAAACACCTCCATTAACTAAATTTTTGACACGTTGCATGCATCATAGTACGTGCTGTAATTCATACCATGTATACTCCAATTGAATAGAGGCGTTGTCCAGATCTACCATGGAATCCCACTATGCTACTGTCCTCTGCAGCCCTGAAGCTGAAAGGGGTTGATGGCACATCTTGATGATACGGATTTCCGAAAGGTCCGTAGGTTCTGATGTTGGTGACGAACTTAAGTGACATCATAAGAATGTTGTCAAAATGAATCCCGTAAAACCCAGATACCTCTTCCACAAACTCTGATGGCTCAAAAAGGATCTACAAAACAACACACCAATAAACGATCAGAAGACCATATAGTTAATTATAGAACGGCATAACTAAAGATCCAAAAACTAGATTATGTACTGCATGCGTACAAACACACCGTTTCGGTTTTTTCTTGCGGGTGACTGTATCCTGCGCCCCAAGGGCCAACGGTTTGTTGTTTTCCAGCTTTGTCAATGTACGAAAACGAGAACGCACCGATTAATCCTAAGTAGGTAATTGTCAGACTCTCCAAACGCCATGGCTTTTTCTCTGTGGCCTTGTTTAGATTGCAAATTTTTACAACCTGGACACTGTAGCACGTTTCGTTTGTATTTGACAAACTTTGTCCGATCATGGACTAACTAGGCTCAAAAGATCTGTCTCGTAATTTACAACCAAACTGTGTAATTAGTTATTTTTTTTTACCTACATTTAATGCTCCATGCATGCGTCCAAAAATTGATGTGACGGAGAGAGAGTGAAAAAACTTGGAATTTAGATGCAATCTAAACAAGGCCTATGTCTTGTGCAGTACCTGCTTTTCCACCAACTAGTCCACTCTTAATGATGTCACTGGACAAACTCTGCATGGATGTAATTTGTAGATGTGCGTCAGCAATTTTTCATCCAACATAGACATAGATGGACTCAAAGTGAATCCAGTGAAAAATTAAAGCTGCAATGGTTTGTTAGTCCACGAACAAAGACGTTAGTATGCGAACAATTAAGTTCAATATCAAAAGATTAGCCATACTGATAATACTCTATCCATCCTATTAGTAGACTTATATAAGGACGGTTCCAACCTAGAAACTATGAGTATGTAGACACTATAAATATCCGTGCCTTTGATTTGCATATGAAACTGTGCATTAGGAGAGATTGTTTCATTCATCAACCTAAACCTTTAAAGATGACGTGGCACCTTTGGAAACCGCTTAACGAAACACCCACTAATATGGCCTAAACATTTCTTCCTCTCTCTATTCCTTAATTCTAAATCATCATTTTGCTTAGTTGGCACTCTAATTAATAACCATCATAGCTTCTGAGTTTTGACTGCCCTTTGTCTAAAAAAAGAGTTGGGACTGCCCTAAGATTACTTTTAGTCAATTAATTTATTCTCATTTAGCAGTCGCGACTTGTCAATTTTTGCTGCCGCATGTTCCCAACAAGCAGGCCCAGCTGGTTTGACCCGGGAGTGATCATGGACACTATTTATCTAGTGAGCTATACCATTGGTAGTTTGGGCCCAGTATATGTTGCCATTTCTGTGTACTTGTATTGTTGCAGATATACCTGATCCATGAGAAATTGTGTGTGATTGATGGATTCCTCCAGAAACCTTTTTTCAGTATCCTTGAGGATATGCACGATCTCTGCTACAGTAGGCCTATTGTTTCTTTCACCATCAACACATTTCATTGCTATTGTAATGCAGATATCCACTTGGTCAGATTCTGTTGATGCGCATGGTGATGCGGTTGCATTTATCTGTTTTGTCCAATCCATATTTACCTGTACTACGCAAACGAAAACTATTCTTAGAATCAAAGGATTGTTTCCCATACCTGATCAATAAATTGTTTTACGTCACCCATTTGACAAAATTCGTCATAACCCGTAGGTCCAGCCATTACCTCTATCATTGTAACCCCTAAACTGAAAACGTCATTCTTGGGCGAGATCATTTTTCTATATTGATACTCTGGTGCCATGTATTTCCTGCATGAAAGAGAAATATTCAGAAAAAAGTCTGGACCTGAGAAAACATGTCAAGTCAGGAAGTTCACTCACGTCGTTCCTGTAACACTTTCTCTTTGTGTGACATGGGTACTTGCTCCGTGGAAGAGCCTTGACAATCCAAAGTCTGCAATTTTGGCAACCATATTGTCGTCCAGCAATATATTGGCAGGTTTCAAATCCAGGTGAAGAATTGGTGTTCCACATCCTTCATGGAGGAAATATAAGCCCTCACAGACCCCCTTAATTATATTGAAAAGGGTGCGCCAGTCACGATCGCAAGATCCATTGTAACAAGCTAGTAGAAAATGAGAATAATATTGAAGAAATTATTTTTCATAAATTTTTGTTGCAAGAAAGCAATAGAATTAAGTTGAAGTGTATTTACCTGTTAGATACCTGTCTAGGCTTCCACCCTGCAAGTATTCTAAGCAGATAGCTCTGTATGTGCGCTGAGAGAATCGTGGTTTGCCATTGTATTCAACATGTTCTTTATGCATTTCATAACAATAACCAATTAACTTTACAATATGTGGATGATTGATACTCAAAAGATTACTAAACTCATTCTCAAATTGACTCTCGTCAGCTCCAATTATCTCGTGAAGCAATTTCACTGCAATTTCCTCCCCATTGTAAACTCCCTGTTAATTAGATAAGATATGCTTAATTAATACATGATGTTGTGGCATGCTTAATGGTTCTCGTATAGGTTGATGCATGTCATGTATGGATGGCAGAGAAGATTAACAGACCAGAGAATGTGTATGCAGAAAAACATGCATGAGATTTGCCTAAGGGAGGCATTCTAGTGGAACGATTCTCATACATCTTGCTCTGATTTCATGGTGACATGTCTACCTACCATAGGAATCTCTCAAAGTTTAGCTGTTTTAATTTTTCTAGTCTCACCTGGTCAATGTGGAGGACCAAGAATAAGATGGCAATAAAAAAACCTTCACTAACAGTCCAAGTGAGGTGACCTTTTTTGGTCTCTGCTTGCTGCAGAAAGAGTTGAATCCTAGTGTCAACCATTTCATTTTTTTAATTGAAAATGTTGTTTACTAGGCTGCTACACCGGCCCCTCGGGTAGTAGTAAGGAGGTGGGGACCACGACTGTAACTCACGCGTTGAGCTTGTACAGGACATGGCCGGTGGGATCGGGTCCCCAGGGCAAGTTGTGTCGGTCTGGGCCTTGGTTAGCGAGAGAGGGAGCGGTTGCCTTATGTGAGCCTAGCAGGGTTAGTACCGGTGTGTGTAGGTTTAATCCAGCTAGATGTTAATCGATTGCAATCGCCGTCTCTCCTCGGGCATAGACGATACCACTTTGCCGCTGTCTACCTTAATAGTAATGCAACTGTAACCATGGAGGAGAAAATTTTGTTATGGGAACTTGATAATCTGATTGCTTACCACTTGCTTGAAAGTAGTTTTAGGTGCAAACTTAAACTGGTTAGGTAATAAACCTACACATGACTTGTAAAATTTAAATATAAGGACTTACTTCTAGTAAGCTTTCATAAAAGACAAAAGAACCAGCAAACCAAAAGCCCCATGCAAATCCTTTGAGAGTCGGGAGACTACTCCCACCTTATTCGGGCAAGTCTTGTTGAGTACACTTCATTACTTAGGGTTTTACCCCCAATTTTGTAGGTGAGAGCATGGAGTAGTAGTAGGTCTTCATCTCCTTTGGGCCTTGCAGCTTGGTCCAAAATGGAGACCTTATGTTGCTGTGGTGGTACTCTCCTGGTGGGCACAGCGAGGGTGTCACATATATCATCGTTTAGTTAATTTACTTTATGTTGTGTAGTGGCATGCAGAGGCAAAACACTTGTCATTCATCCTCTATATGAGATGATGAACCCATGTGATGTATGAAATGTTCCTACGTTGTAAGTTTTATTCATTTGTTATGGATTCTGGCATAAATCATGGATTGTTTCGAGTTCTCCCATGGTGGTGTGCTCGATACACTTGTTTGTTTAACTAGGTCTATTGGGTACTTAGTGCTAAATGGATGGCGAGTACGCTTGGATTGAGTTTTGTCAGGCAAGTCTGCCACACAATCATTATGACTAACGTGTGTTTTCCAGCATCATTACTTAAGTGAGGTCACAATGATGATTGATGTTGGGCAGCTATGGTTTTCATGCCCTATTGGTGGTATCTATGTTGGTTTTTAAAGGACGAGCGTGAACATTAATGATTGTCTAGTTCTTAGTGTCAACGACATTGAGGGACACTTACAGTAGTGATAGGATCTTTGTTTTCTCCTTTGGCCTACTATAAAGGGAGTATGAATAAGTAGCTTGACCTGGTTAAGTCTAGTAAGTGGATATGATGGACACTTGTTAAACTAGTGCTATGTAGCACAAATGAAGCCCAAGGACAAATGAAATCAAAACCAAACTCAAATGTGTTTGAAATGGACGGGTTTGGAGATGTTTACGGTGCATTGGAGTTCCCTAGAGTTGCACTAGAGTGTGCACCGGAGTTCCCCTACGGTGCACGGTTTCAGACAGGAAATGATTTAGTTGCACCTTGGTGTGCATCAGAGGTGTCACACCGGATCTTCTTTACAAAGAAGGTTTTCTGGTGTCCTAGCTGAGTTCTACTCATTAGAGGTGTCCAGTGTGCATCGGAGCTATCGCATTGGATAGTGACTCCAATATGTTTTTCAAAGGGGCTGAGAACCCACTGGATCCCTCCGGTGGTCCACCAGAGTGCCTGTACAGTAACAGCTACCAAAACTCTCTGGTGCTCATGTTTTTGCTGGGAGGAGGAGCAACGACTAGATTTTGGGGTTGGTCCTAAATATACAGCTCTATCTCATGATTAGAACTCTCTCTGCGTTCTAAAGATACACCTACACTTGCTGGTGTTCAAGAGAGAGATTTGGCCTATGGAGTGATTGAGATTTTCTAATTGAAGATGAAGGACTAGTGCTTTGGGAGTAGCAAGTGTGCATCCACTCTTCTCATTAGGCTTAGTTGGGTCAAGTGAGAGTTTGTGCTTGTTACTCTTGATGATTGGCATCACCTAGACGGTTTGGTGGTGATCGGTGACTTGGTAATCTCTCGGAGGAGCTTGTGGGAGGCCCGAGTTGGTGTAAACGATTGTTGGTGATTCACCGTGCAGGAGTGGTGAAGAATTAACATAGAGAGAGCACTTTGCATGGATCAAGGAGGAGCAATACCCTTGAGCATGTGCTCCAAAGATGACTAGTGGATATTACAGACTATCTCCAATGCCTCAGGGAAACATCGCCATGTTCCTAACACTTCTCCTTACTTTTGAGAATTTACTTTCATGCAATTACTTTCTTAGAGTTACCATGCTGAACTAGGGTTGGAAATAGTTTCAAGACTTTGCGTGGTAGGCTAGAAACACTTGTGTAGGCACTATGGTGAAATTGGATAATAAGCGATAGATTCTAATTGTTCGAAACTTTTAGATTATTAGCCCAATTCACACCCCCTCTTGGGTATCTTGATCATTTCAACACAGAAAGACATTGATCTATAAGTTGCCCTCAAGTGCTTCATAATAGATCGATGTGGATTTGTCACGAAGATTAAGGAGATTTTCTTTGCTTCTACATCTACAGCATCCGCATCTGAGGTAGAAACCAATGTAAGTGTGCTTTTATCCTTGAAAACCATATGTTTGATCGGTTTGCCAATATGTTTTTCTGATTGCAAAAATCTTTAGTCATAGTCATAGACTATAGTTCAGATAAGTGGGAAGGGAAGAAATCTACACTCTTTCTAGTTTCTAATACTTTGCCTCATGATGAATCTAAGAGTGGGTCATCAATGGTTGTTGCTAGTCAACTTATGGGATGTTGTTCAACAATTACAAACGGTGACAAAAGGGTATACACAAAGTAGACAACTCAAGTTATGCAATTCATCCATTGAGGCCGAAACATCCAATTTAGTGTTAGTGCCACACATCAATTTACAACACCCCCAATTGTTACTTTACCTCCTATTTTGGCTACGCTATGCCAAATCAACGTGTTAGATAATTTTGTGCCACCATATACTACTACAGTATAACTCTGCCTATGTTGTCTCAACATAGCAGGTCCCAAGCCCTGGTAAAGGAGGGTTGTCATAGGTGTGGCGAGCCAACGTTAAATCTAGCTATTCTAATGGAGATGAAACCCGAAAGAAAACCGTTGGGGCGTAACCCTCTTAGCGACACGCCATATCGGAACCCGAGTATGGTGTTAAATGGGCAAGGGCCGGGTCGACACCCCCTTGGTGATGCGCCATGTCACGATCTGGGCATGGTGTCAAGTGAGCAAGGATCGGGTCGTCGCTTCCTTAGTGGCGTGCTACATCGGTGCCCGGGTGTAGTAAAAAATGAGCAAGGGTCTTCACATCTGAGTTAACGGGTGCGAAGGGTAAGGAAGCTAGTCGAACCAACTAAAATCTGTTTAGGTAGTTGGAATGTAGGGTCGCTTACCGGTAAGTTAAGAGAATTAGTTGATACCGTGACTAGGAGGCGTGTAAATATACTATGCGTTCAAGAGACTAAATGGAAGGGTCAGAAGGCGAAGGAGGTGGACAATACAGGTTTAAAGCTTTGGTACATAGGGACAGTCACGAATAGAAATAGAGTAGGAGTTTTGATTGATAAGAGCCTCAAGAATGGTGTGGTGGGAGTGAGAAGGCAAGGAGATAGGATTATCTTAGTCAAGCTTGTCATTGGTGACATGGTCTTGAACATAATTAGTGTGTATGCCCCCCAAGTAGGCCTCGATGAGAGTGCTAAGAGATAGTTCTGGGAAGACTTAGATGGCTTGATTAGAGCTTGTTTACACCAAAATTTGGAAGAAGAATCGCAGGGACTCGAGAGCTCCCAAGATCATATCATCAAGGAATCAATTGCGTGCAGATCAGTATCAGCTGAATCGAATGCAACACGAGAATCGACTTTCTTTAGATAGCGCCAGCAGATAACGACAAAGGCTATGATCGGCGCCGGGACAAAACATGTTGGACTCTACAAAAAGGGAAAGATTAGGGTCCAAGTTATCTTAAATTCGGAATGTTTTCTCTTAGGCCAAAAATTGTGATGAGTCGTGCTTAGGTAGGAATCATGCGTAGGTTCTGGGTATAAATATTGGGCCCCAGCTATTGTAAAGGACACACAATCAATCAAATACAAGTCATTTACTTTTTTTTGGCACCGGCCACCCCTTAGGAGTAGGAGTAGAGTAGATCTCGGCGAGTTCTTAAGTGAGCAGGGCTGCATCGGTCTGGTCGACCTCTGACTTGTCTGTAAGTACCGTCATGACTTATACTTCTGTTCGTATGGCTACATCGATCCGATCGACCTCCACTGCGACTCTGGTATAAGCTAGTTATCGACTCTTGTTTAGTTCAAGTACGGCTGCATCGATCCGGTTGACCTCCACTGCCCAAACTAGATTAAGGTCAAGTTATCAGCTTTATCTAAGGGTGGCGTCCTTCAGGTAGATTCATTAAGTTACCGATGTTGCTTATTGCTTTCATTGTTTATTTAATTACAACAATATCACTTCGCCCGATTGGGATTGATCTAGATCGGCCTTACATCCTGTTTAACCCATCGTTTGTTAATCTAAATTGATCTAATTTGTACTTTAAATGATGAGTTATGTTTTATCGACTGTTTTATATCAATCTTGATCATGCATAGCGCGCGGTTAAGGCATGTCTGGTCTTGAGTAGATCTATTGGCTAGCGAGAACTGTTCCATGGCCCGTTATCACGGCCTGTGTGATTCTGCCTCACATCCCACTGTTAGCACTCTGGAGTGGAGATCGTTATTTGGTAGGTCTGTTTCTGATACGGCATGACCTTAACTGTGCGCTATGCCTGAATCGGTTGTTTTAGCCGATATCGAGTGCTTTTACATACAGTTCACGTCATGAGACTGTTGAAGTAAAGATAGGTTGAAAGATGTGTTAGCCCCATGATTTTATTATTGTATTATGGCCTACATGATTCTGCCTCATGTCGTACTGATATTAGTAATAAGTT